CTCCGTACCGCTGAAGGTTAATTTATTGTTTCGATCGTCGGTGACCCGGAACTGTTGATAATTTTCTTTCAGTACTTCAAAATGGTTTCTCTATTATACTATTGAATAGTTTTTAGATTTCTGTCGCAAGGTTGCACTTTCACAAATATGTTCAAACGTCAAATGTAATAATTTATCAATTTTTTAATCTATAACTGACCAATACTAAATTTACACTTTCATGTAAATTTTTTCGGTGACCTTTGACCCGCTTATATTTCTCTAAGGTTAAAGTAGAAGATAGAGATATAAAATTTGAAGGCTTAACTTCAACTTTCTCCAGGGAGACCTTCTTCTTCCTTTTTTTATCTCGCATAATTGGAAATACGTTTTGGACGTGTGATTCGGAGAAGCAAGAGAAAAGTCCCTCCATGGAAAACACATTTCAAAGAACCGCTGTCTGTCGGAAAGGATTCAATCCGGCGTTGAGCGATACAAAAAAACGGTTCTTTCACGGGGAAACATCAAAGCATTTGGGGGTGGTCGCAAGTCTGGTGACTGCTGCAGACTCTCGATGGAAGTTGAAATTGTACTGTTGAATGCAAAAAGGGTTCCAGAACAGGTTTCCGAGTAAAATACTTAATTAGATTCTTTTCTATATTCTTTTCTATTCTCTGTGGTCGTTCTATTCTCTGCAATCTCGTCGCTGTTATCTTCAAAATTGACGGAGTTTTCAACAAGATTTTTTACGTTAATATTGACCGATTTTCAACTAAAATATAGTCTTGTGTATGTGTATAAAATACATTCAAATATTGATCAATCTGAATGTAGTACAATTTAGTGTAGTAATACAGATATAGTACAAAATATTCAAGTATTCAGTCGGTTATGTGCTCTTTCAGTTTTGCAATTATAAATTTATCATATAATGGTTCAGAAGAATGAAATATTTGGGAAATATTTGAATCAAAGATACTAGAATATTTACATCGTTTTGATGCTGTATAAAGCAAACATTAACTAGGTAAATATTAAATGAATAATACGAAATAATGTCGTTCGTATTGTAAACTTACTTCATTCATTGACATGATATACAACTCGTCAATAAAATTATAAAGAGGGAGTATCAAATTTTTTGACATTATACTTCCGTAGCAACTTCACCGCGTATAAAAAATATTTCGCTTTTAAATACTCGGAGAGCATTCTCCTCGAAACTAACCTTGCATCCAACAGATGCGTCGAAAACCTCGTTGTCTTTTACCCAAAATTGAATCAACGGTGCAACGTAATTCTGCGACGGTCTCTGTGCACAGATTGCAAAATATTCAATCAGAAGTCGAACACGTAAAATAGAAAAAGAGAAAAAGGAGGGAGAAATGTAACGCAGACCATTCGTTCGAGGTTCTCAATTTTCAACTTCTCCATCGAGCAGGAAGAATGTCGACCTTCGTGACGATCTTCGAGAATCGCGAGATATCGACCATCGAGACGCAGACGGTAATCAATTCGTCGATTTCCCGTCGTCTGCCGATGTCAAAGATGTCAGACATTTACTGCGCCGAGCAGATCAAGATTCCGCCGACGTTCCCGCACATTTTGAAACAGTACGCGAAAGCCGCCATCCGAACGCAGCCGTACGATCTTCTGCAATGGAGCTGCGCTTATTTTCGTGCTCTCGTCAAATGCGACGTCCCCCCTGTCAAAGTAAATGCCACCGGTCGCCAACCGTGTTCGCTCGAGACGCACGTCTCTCCGTAAAAGGAGAAGACGTTTTGTTGTGGGTAAAGGATGACGATGATAGCTACGAAATAGGATAAGATAGTCGCGTGGAAAATTCGCCACGGCCGAGGTTTAATCTCGCTCGGTTTGTTTCGCTGTCTTCGTACAGCGTAGCATGTCGCTGACGTGTATCTTTTTCGCATCCCTATTATCTCGCAGAAAGGGGGATGATTAAACTACTCGCTACTGACGGACGTGTTCGTTCTTCCTCGAGTGGCACTCGCTCGCTCTCTCGAGTGGCTTTTGTCGAGTCGTAATCTTTCTCATTGCCTTTCGTCTCGTGCACCGACGTGAACGCAGCGTCGTCGATTTGTATCGCGTAATTAAGTGGGATAGACGAGTAAATCAATCCGCCGCGGCTGAATTTAATTATTCAAGCTCGGTTAATGGCGTTTCGTTTGGCTTGCATCGCCGAGTCCGTTTAATCCGCTCTCTTTCTCTCTCTCTCTCTCTCTCTCTCTCTCTCTCTCTCTCTCTCCAGGCCAACCAAGAAACGCGTAGCACCGCGTCAGTCGAATTAGATTTTCCGAAGCAATTAAGTATTTCGTGCGGTGCACGATTAATTTATATCGATCCTCGAGCACGGTAATTGACACAGTCGGTCTGTCTCTCTGCGATGGTGCAAGCGATTCTTTGTGAAAAAGTGAGCCGGGAATTTGGAACGAAGGTTCGAGAGGGAAAGTAGAGGGATATTAACCTGTAACTTTCGATTCGATGGCTTTACGAGATGAAAGACTGCGCTTTAGGAATGAGGTCTGAGAATTCTCTCGGAAAAAAAAAAAATCCAAATAATACGATAATAGGTGGGAAATCAGAGCGAAGACTTTTGCAAAAGAATGCGCGTAATCTTACGAAAAATTTTACGTACATAAATATATTCGACTGTGTACCCAATACATGTAGCTTTTTTTCTTTATATTCTACAATCGTTTTTATGAAATCGCTCGGACCAAGTAGGACTTTTACATGAAATTCAGTAATGAGAAAAGATATTACTACTTTGAAAAGATATTACTTCCATCTGTTTTTTATGAAATCATTCCGAGGAAATACAGTGGAAAAGACGGGTCGTCCAGTCCAGATGAAAAGGACGGTTTTTGCATATGCAAAAATTTTATTTCGCATTGTTCTTCTTTTCTTTTTCTCCTTTTTTTTTTTTTTTTTTAACCAGGATCGCAGAGAGACCCAGTGTACATCAAGATTCTAAATGAAAGCATTTAAATTGAAATATCGATCGATTCAGGCACCATTGAGGATCGCCGCACCGTGCAATTCTTTTCTCGTCGATAGGATTTCCCACGGATTTTGTCAATTGGTTCGGCTAGAGTCTAAATTTCCCAGATTTAATCGCAGTCGATTCGCTTAACGAGCCGGGCTAAGGAAAATCGATTAACTCGGTTAATCGAAACCGATCGCTATAAATTAATCCGCCCCGATCGAGAACGCCGGTCGTTTATTGGCCAGCCGCGACAGCCGATCGAACAGCTCTCTGTTTCCAGGACTCTTTTTCTCTTTTAACGCTGATGCATTATAGACGACGTCCATGACCGGACGCGAATAGAATTCAGTTATGGGGACTCGAGGAGCCTTGAACTATCGGATTCTCCTATTTTCCTAGTTGAATCTCTCTCTCTCTCTCTGTCTCTCTCTCTCTCTCTCTCTCTCTTAGGATTTTTTGTTCGCGGAGAAGCGACACGACGCGGGACTAACCTCGATCTGGCATAAAAGCGCCGATGTCCGTGACCCGAAACAATACTCGGAGGATTACGATCCGGCCGAGACATTGCTCGCCAATATTTTTATATATTATTATATACGGAGCGTTCCATTTAAAGCTTCGGCGGCTTGTGAAATAAATGTAACATCGACTCGAAATAACTAATCGATTAAAAATAATCCTCGCTCTCGGAATGGTGTGACAAACGTGACAATTGCCGAGTTATTGAATATTTGTTACTGTCACGCGTAGTAAATGTTATTCAGTTCTATTTTGCATTCTGTCATTTGCATCGTCCGCGATTGAGATTAGCGAAAAAAAAAAAAGAAAAAAAGAAACCGAATGAAATTAAATTGAAAATTCCCAGAGTAACTAATTTAAAGTTCTAAATTGTTTCCAGCGTCCAATGATACCAGTTAAGAGTTGACTTAACTGAGATATTATTTCGTTTCGAGGGAGGAGCATGACGCTGAATCTTATTTAGGCGGTCGCGCCCGTAAGATTCCGAAATGATCTTGATGCTTTTGTACAATGGAATTGTACGCTTCCATTTGGATAGACATGCAGTCTATTACATCTCTCTTTTTGTTTTTATTAAACATTATTTTGTTAGTAAGTTTTCTGTATTCAAGGAATACGAAGAGTTTGAACGAGATTTCATCCATGAAGAATCAAACAATAATTTATCTTAATATTAACATTTTACGAGATAATAAAAGAGACGAGATTAACTGTATTGTTAATTGAACATTTAGAAATTGTTTCCAAATTTCTTAAAAAAAAAGATAATCTCACACATTAAAAAGACAGAGAAGCATCTCAAAATTTCAGTGACGCGTCCACTTGGATAAAATTTATGAACGTCGCGAGAAACGTCTGCCTCGAGACAAATTAAATTTTACTGGATACATTTCTTGAGACAATGAATACGCTGTTCAGCAGATAGTTAATGTTTCAGGAACCTGGAACGAAATTTATGAACGTCGCTTCTCGTCGCATCTCTCTCGAAACAAACCGACCTTTGCTTGAAACATACTTCGAGATAGAAGACAGTTTACGCAAAACTTTAAACGCAATACTCTTGTATTTGTATTGCAATCATTCGTGATCCAGATTCTCGCCTCTCGTGCCCTCTCTTATCTCGTCGAACGAACGTTAAAAATATAAGCGGTTGTTAACCATCTCGGCAAAAGAACAATTTTCACTTTCGATACCGATCTCTCGTTTATTTCTGAGTAGAGTGTCACGCGATCTTGCCGACGGCCTGTGAACCCACGCCCTTTCTTCCGCTTGCGTAAAGACAGATCGATTTGTCGACGCGACGACTGGCCGGTCGCTACTCCACTCCGCCGCGCGTTTGTCAACGTTACGAGCGTTTGTCCGTGACCTGAGCGTAACATCATTCCGTGCGACCGGTGACCGTGAATCGTTAGCCTTGTGGTATTTTTCTTAGGAACGATTGGAGTACCCTCCCTTCAGTCATCCGTCAGGTATCACGCCTGGCTACCTGAAGACCCTTTTGAACGTGTTCGGTCACGTGGAGCGAGCGTGCGTGAAAAGCTTGCTGGAAAGCTGGCAGGGTGTCGCTTTGCCCGAAACCACGCTCTTCCGAATTCTGCTGATAGGGAAATTCTTGTCGGTGAAAGAGTGCGACTTCTACGGATTCCTGGCGATCGCATGCGGATTCCTCGGCAAGGTAAGCCGCCGTCTGGCCTGAAAATAGCGTTCTCGCTACGAGTTGTATACTTAAAATAGAGCGAAACCATCTATCAAACCACTTTCATCCCTCGCGTGTTGATCTTTATCGTTTTCTCCTAAAAATAGTGGTTTCTTTTTCCTTTTTTATACGAGTTGTTATAGATCGATTCGAATCGTAGATCTCGAGGGAAGAAAAGCTTTTGTGCAAGGGTACTTGCACTAGGAATAGATTTAGGTCTATTACTGACTAGGGGTAGATCAGAGTCAGCGATGGTGTCGGTACGATTTTATTTTTAATTTTTAATTTGGTACAGATACAAGTAGGTATTAGGAATCACGAATGCCTGTTTGATATTTACGCAGTGAATAATAATCTTTATTTAGCCGCGTGAATAATTAATACACGGTAATTGAAAAATAACGTAATCGTAACCTAATTAAATTCAAATCAGTATTGATGATGATAATTGTCTAATTATAGATAATTAATATTCAAATGTTGACACGTTAGATTAAAATTTATTTGTACTATTCTTCGACTAACTGCAAAAGTACACCGCGTTGAACTTTGTTCAACGTGAGTTCAATAGAGAAAATTGTTCAATAAATAAAAATTATTTACATAGCCTTTGTATTACATAGATTTTATTGCTGTATTTGGACACTCACGTGGAAATACCCATATTAATATCGGTTGACGTTGGTATCGGCTTGCCATTTTAAAATTTATATTGCCGGAGCAAGCTGCGCGTAGATTTGCGCGTACGAAATTGTATTTGCATAGATTTCGTTTGTTTCCATGCCAGAGGAATATGTGTATCCGCATTCGCGACATTAATCTCGTGCAAAATTGCCCTTCGATTCGATTTCAAGGAAAATGTTCAATTTCCTTAATCCCTAATACCTCCGAGATAGCAAAACCTTTTCACTTTTGGTTTTCTCCTTAATAAAAATTTCATTAACATATTGATGAAATTTTCTTAATTAAAGTAAGACGAAACACGGTGTCGTTATGAAGCTTAATGGGCAACATTGATCGGGTTTGCGAGTCTTCTATCGTCGCTTGACGGAACATAAAGAACTTGGAGCGTCAGACAGATATCGGATAATCTTGTGGAAAATTCACCTCTGGCGAGAAATTTTCGATCGGGTGCGAAAAATATTCGAACATATATAAAAGAAAAACATCAAAATCATTGAAGTATAAACCGATATGTTGTGTTTATTTAAATTACAATTCAATTCGCGAAGTGAATCAAACAAATTCCGACGTCGATTCAAGGAGAATCGGTATCCGCGATTGATATCGAATGTGCCCAAAATTTTCGACGCGTATCGATGTCTTCTGGTTGGGTGTTTCACTATCAAATTGATTGAATATCATCGATCCTAGTCACTATCTAGTAAGCTGACGTAACTACGTACATGTAATACATTTCTTTTTTTTCGTTTTTCACCCCGTTCACCCGATCAATCGTTCGCGCGAGGTCAGCTCTTACCGCAAGCCCGTTTATTAGTCTAAAATATAACCTCTCTCTCTCTCTCTCTCTCTCTCTCTCTCTCTCTCTCTCTCTCTCTCTCTCTCTCTCTCTCTCTGTGGAAAAGGAAGAACGGAATTCAATCGTTGGAAGCGTAACAAATGGGGACAGGTCGAGTCTTTGTTACACAGAACGTCACCATTTATCGGAACAATTTACAACGAGCCACGCTCAACGACGAAACATTCCGAGACACGCTAATGAAATTTTTCTCCAACCATGGAAAAGTGCACCTCCGGGGGCATACGCGTTTGATCGTATCAAACGATCGGTCCAAGATACACAAAGTTCCTTCGCCGATGTAACTCATTCACGGAGCTTAATGCGAATCGATGAATCATCGTTACCGGCTGAATGAAATTAATCACCGGCCATTGTTGCTGGCCTGCAGTCTCTCGCGTCCAATTCACCTACACGCCCCTTTGTGACTTGCCCTCCCGCAGAATCTGCTCGAAACGATGATATACGTGTGCGAATTGCTGACGGAGGAGCCAGAAGGCGGCTCGGCCATGATACCAGTGCGAACCTTCGTTCGCCTGTACGAGTATCTGGCGACGCTCGATTGCAGCGGCGAATCTCCCTACGCGATAATGGACGACGACGAGACGAAGGAGATTTCTCTCCCTAGCGAACTCCCTTCTACGTTCGATTCGAAACTGTATCTCTGGCCGTCCGCCGTGGAAGAGGTAAAAAGAAGAATTTATATCAACGATGTCCGTGAGTAATGTCGTCTGTTTTTTTTTCTTTTTCTCTCGAATTTAACAAACACTGCCATCTGGTGGCAATAATTTAAAAACAAAATAAAATAAAATTTTGTATAATATCAAAAAACGACGTTACTTATGGCCATCCCTATTATAATATATACATACGTTTACGCGTTCTACGTGTTTTCCATTTTGGGAATGATTTACACTGGCAACGGCTGGAGGAATTATTTATTACGTCAACGGACCATTTTAATCATAATGTTTTACGACTATTTACTTCAAACTTAATACCAGACAGATGCAGACGCGCATTTGTGGAAAATTTGAACGTGCAGAAATGTGAAAAATGCTCAAAATAAAGTGATTAGAACGTTCGATTAGATACATCTTTACGAAGATTTCGTTTCTTTTTTGTAAATTGCATGGAAACCCGCGGGGTTTCTGTTTATCACTAGCATTTCACCGCGCTTGGATCGTTCGTTCAATTCATCAAGAGGGCAGAGACTTTCTTTCTTTTTCTTTCTTTTCATCATATTTTGCAAAATCGTAAAAACTTTATAACGCTTCCGCATCAGGGCGGATGAGAACAATCTTTGTACCTTCGTCGTGCAAAATATAGTAAATTCGCCTTAAATCCTGTTTTTCATCGCAGCCGTGAAACGTCGCGCGTTTCAATTCGTTGCGTCGCGCGAGGTATACACCGTTCAACAGCGAGGAAAAAAAAAAACGTTATACACCTGCGAGTACGCGCGCGCTCCGTGACGTGTCCAATGGACAATTTCCAGTTTGGTTGGAGGATTATTGACTGTGGTCCAGTCCGGTGGCTCATTCGGCGGCCAGAGCCAGACCGAAATAATTTTGTTTTTTTTTTCCCCAGCCGCTGCGGGTCGCAGAACGGGTGAATGGGAACGGAAAAGGTTTACGCGAGAGCGTGCAACCGGACGAGTTGGCGAACTCTCGAAACTGGCGAGCACTCTCTCGCCGATGGCCAAATATAATTTCGTTAATAACAGACCGATGCGGATGGAGTTGGGTGCGCGGATCGAGAACGCCGGGACCGCCGGTATATAATAATTACTTGATGTGTCGAGCCGGATGTTTACAGCGCGTTTCAGCGGACCCTCCGTAAACGGGCGAGTCCTGAATGCCTGGCGCAAATTTGCAGAACGTCGTTCCGATTGTAGCATAGTTTAGCGGAAGCCACCCCCTCCCCCGCAGCCGGTTTTCCGCGGCCGTGAGTTGAGTCAACTCAGTCGGAATCGATCGAGTCCGGAGGGCGCAGGATATCGACACATGTTCAATTAACCCTTTCGCGAGATATCTCGTCCGCGATTATGTTAATTGGCCCCGGCGACGACGGCCATTTTTGCGCCATTCTGCAACGCCGTCGAAAAATCGTAGATAACACAATTTTTTAAACTAAGTCGGACTCTTTGATCTAACTCTGACTAACTTTTGTCAACTATAGACATTTTAGATAGGAGTGTGGTAATACGTCGATTTGAATTCTTCAATCGTAGATGTCAAAATGGTACTGGAATATAAAAATGGTATTGATTGGTACGAATAGAAGGAGAAGAATAATTCAAGATGGATGAGAATTTATTTGAGTAAGAGTACTTGTTCCATATTGGGATTTTTAGAACAATTGATATGTAACACATGCTAAACGTTTCTAAGAACTTTATGAAACGTTAGTGAAATGATTAACAATGATCGAGGAACATTCTTTCCATTGTAAGAATGGAAAATTGCACCAACTCGTACATTTCGTGTATGCAACTATTAATATGTCAAAAGACTTTTTGTTATATAAAGCACTTATTGTTTTAAAACGATATAATATATCCTCTTCGGTATTTATAACTAAATTGAGATATTTATTCCCTTATTCGGAATAAAATTCCTTTGGCCAGTAAAGAAAATGGGGATGCTTAAGATGAGAATATTGATTAGACTCAAAAATTTCAGTTCCCTAGCTTTCAATAATTTTACTTACTTCTGGTCAATGTATCATATTTTCAATTTCAAAGGAAACTAGAACGTGGCCGAATTTTTGAAAATATATCAGAAAGACGGAGGAGGAACACGATAGGATTAATCAATCAAAGCAACGTCATACTGTTTAGTATTAATTTAACGTTCGTGCCAGTCAGTTTACGTTAATATAACGTAACGTAACGTCTGTCTCGCTCTTAGTTTTAAACTGCAATTTTCGCGGACCAGCTTGTCGTGTGTAGCAACCGTAGCCGAACGATTAAAACGCCGTGAATTATTAACGTTAGCGACAGTGGCGATGAAATCGCTGATTTAACGCTGATACAGAAGTTTACATGAGTAACGACGACGGTCCATTGTCGTGAGTAATGAAATAACTCAACGCAATGTCAACATAATGCTTATATTGTGAATAAACGGGGTGCAGAATTCGTCGACGCGAGTCGACATTGTCAAGCGAGGTATCTCATCCCCTCATGCACATGTTCCGCAAACCGATGCAATGGCGTTCGTGGGTTAGCGAGAGGGTCAACAGCCTTCGCCAACTGTATTTCTCTTCTTTCCTTTTCCTCTCGGACCGAGCCAGTGTCACTTTTTTAATCGAACTCCCATCAGGAAGAAGATGCAGGCAAGCTGGATGTGTGCGGGCTTACTCCCAGCGAAAGTCGATCTTCCGACACCCTGCAGGTTTTGAAGGATTACTGCGGTGACGTACAGAGTCCCGAAGTTGACGAAATACACAGCCAGGGGCC